GCAGCGCCCGTGGATATAGGAAAAGCAAAATATGTTTGCTGTGTAAATCAGACGGACTTACTGAACAACATGCAAATTCATTCTCTGCCAGTAGGAGGTGCTTTAAAGCGGGAGAAACAGAGGTTTCCCCAGTAACGGCTGTACACAAAGCAGCGCTGACTGAGCTCACAAACGCTGCTTTATCAGGCAAATAACATGCAAGATGAAATTAAAATGACATCGAAAATTTCCTTCAGAAATGCAGTGATATAAAACCACCCGCGCCTCGTTTTGATTTTAAAACGTGCAGTACGTGCTCATGTTTATTCAACGAAGCCTTTTGGAAAATCCGTCAGTTTTGATAATGTGGCGAGCGCCACAAATAAATAAATGTATGGGAAACACATCCCACAGCACAACCACCTGAGCCCAACTTCAGTCTGCTCATCACCTTAGCTTTAACTGCGTTTGTAGCCGGCGCCATAGCCAGACTTATAAACAAACACAGACCGGAAGTTAACTTCGGGCCAGGCACGTGCGGCCGATGAAACAGTCTATATAAAGCTTGAAGCATCAGAATCGGCATCGGTATCGGCCGATCACCATGACAAGAAATCGGTACTCAGTATCGGCTGCAAAAATCCTGATCGGAGCATCCCTAATTATATGTTTTAAAATCAAATCAAATAGAAAACAGTTTAAATTGTAATAGCCTTGGTGAATTCTTTCAGAAACGTTAAAAAAATCTTAAATCGTTCAAAGGTTTGACTCTTAGTGTATGCATGCATAATGTATTACATAAAATATTAGTAGTAGTAGTAGTAGTAAAAATACTATATACTGCTCTCAAGTAAATAAAAATATGAAAATATGAAAACAGAATGTGTATAATTTTAAACTTGCGTATTCTTTTGACTTTGACTGGTAATGTAATCATCTAAGCATCCTACCAATACCACCGCAACAACCCAGAATGACCTAGCAACCTCACAGCGGCACACTAAAGCGACTGGAAAGCAATGCCACCCACCCACAACATCCTTCCGCAAATGTAAAAGTCTACTGCACAACATGCAATTCCAGTCAAACTGAATTGTAAATTGCCATGCAGAAGTGGCAGCTTACATTACGCCTCATTTCTGACTCAGAGTGACTGGACAGGGATCGCGAATGTGGTAATATGGAAGAGGTTTGTCTGGTGTGAATTGCATCAACACACCTACACAGGAAACTGCTGCAAAGCCTGACTCAACTGCCGCGGCCTTGATAAGCCTTCACAATACGTCTCAAATGGAGAAAAAAATGCCTACATACAAACGGCCACTGCAGCTTGTTTAAAGGGCAAGCTGACATTTAGTTTAATCTCGAAATGTTCCTAAAACAAGCCTACAGCAAATTAAATGTACTTTTTGGGAAATGACAGCCCACAAGGACCTGCGTTCATGTATGACGTAACTGGCTGAGGCATTCATTTTATTTTTATCCTTGAGTTAAAAGCTGAGATGATTCAAAGTATCCGGGGTTAATCACCTCCCTCCGGGGCGACCAGAGCACTGTAGGCCTCTCACCCACCAATCACCAGAGACGTGACCCTGCCGGTTGTGTCAGAACACAACATGCTGGACATCCTCCACTGTAACAAATACACTCTGCATAGTTTCCACTGCCCCTTTCCCTTCACACACACTCTCACACTTCATTCACATGTTAAAGGGATACGGGAACTCTTCCGGACACACACGCTCCTGTGCCTTTCTCTCAAAAGGTGACAGACTATGAGTCTGCATGAGGACTCCTCAGGAAGCTAGCGAATGACGGTTGGAATTGAGGGATCAGAGCCTTAGCCGCATTCTCACATTCCTAAAGATTTTCAGCATATGTGTAATGGTTTGCAAACACCACTGTCTGATGTATTCAACACTTGCTGATAAATATTCTCAGTGAGCAATGGGTCATTCTATGAAATGGGTGCCTTTTCCGATTTGAAAACAAATTGTGCTGTAAAGTCTTTCAGAAAAAGAAAGTGAATAATAAATTGCATAATGCCATATTAAGATCAATTTAATATTTTAATGTATGTTGGAAAAAATGGTAACGAGGTTAACATATTTGGTTTAATTTGACATTACAAGTACCACAAGGTACTATTTTATCAAATATGCAGTTTTCATTTGTCATATCATAAAATCATGAAGCCATCATAGCATTAAAACAGAACTTCAAGTCTTTTAAATTAAGATAGAATGACAGACAGAATGACAGACAGACAGATAGATTTCTTCCTCATTTTCAAGCCATTCCTCTTTGTCTTAAACATATGTTGTCTACTGCAGTTTATTCCCATGCGGCTCCATATCCTGTTCCCTCAGAAGGGAAGTCCAGGCTCACTAAACACTGTAAAAACAGACCAATCAGTCTGATATCAAAGCTTACAGGAACTCATTTAGATAGTGACAGCAAATCATAAGTAATGCCATTCTCACTTTTTGAACTCCTGTGCGTAAAAACATAGTATATGTCAGTAGTTTCTTCCACTATAAATAGGAGTACAAGGCTCAACTGGAGGTTCAGGTTATTTCATAACCTGGTCATTTTGAATATCAAAGCAAGGTGTGCCAGTTTTCAAAAGCACAGTTTAACTTCAAGCAACAATCTGGCATTAGACACATCGCATCAGACAAAGATGACGGTTTAACGCATGCTCATGCACAAAAAACAATTTAAAAACAGTGCAGACTGACAAAGGAACGCCTTACACATGTGCCAAGTGCTTCGAGAGTCACTACAGAGTTTCTCACACTTGTCCAAGAATCTAAAAATAGAGGAGCAGAACAGGTTCTCACTTCTGCTGTAGGTCGTGAAGGCTCTGCTCCGCCCGTTGGAGGCTATCCAGGTCGTTCATCATCTTCTTCATGTGGTCTTTAGAGTGCCGGTTCTGGATGTAAGCGAACCAGCAGCCTCCCATTCCGATGACTATTGACACCACCAGCATGAAGTCCTTCAGATGGTTATGTCTGTTCACTGTGAGAGACAGAAACCAGTATGTACTTCAGACAAGTAGTCCTTTAGTAAACACAGTAAGACACAAATGAACTCATTATTTGCAACATTTCTAATAAGACTCATACAGTAAATCGACCTTAGAAGGTTTTACTCAAGTGCAGGCAGAGAAGAATCAGTGAACAATGTCTCTGGGTAAAACAGCCATTTTATTAATAGATTGAACAGTTTTTGAATTAATACTTTTCCGTACTGAATGAAACAAAGGACACCTTCTTCAACAGCCTTCACATGAGAAGTGTGTCGATGATGCTTTAAAATGTTGCATATGTAGGCAGCTCAAAAGGTTTTGGAACAGATTCCATGACCCGTTTAAGAGTGCAAAGCTGAGGTGTAGGTTGTAGTAGTAGAAGTCAATCTGCATTCTGCACAATGAGGTAGAACATCGAAATTCAGTTTGCAAACCGATGCACACAAAACACAGGCTTTCTCTGCAAGCTGTCCAAATGCTTCCCACAAAGCTGTTTAATGCATGGCATTAAAAGCTTTTTTCTTGCAAATATTGAACTGGAACAGAGAGTAAGCTGCAGTGCTTGCATCTCGTAAAGGTTAAAGCGTTCATTTACATTTACTGTAGGGATACATGGGCTTCTGCGGTTACTGCAATACTTGCCACTGCTGTGCCATTGAGCAAGACTGTTAACCTAACAATAGCCCCGGGGGCAGCACACAGCCCTGACCCTGGATGACTCAACTTCTTACTCTATCTGTACATAACCATGATTAAATATAAATGTCTGCGTTGAGAGATGGGAAAATAACACTCTTCTCAACTCCTCATCCTCTAGGGAGCACGACCGGTTGTCTCACACGAAAAATAGTTGGTCTGCATTAGCTTGATAAACAAAATCTAACACACAAAATCACTTTTTGCAGAGCTTTTGCCTTTGATTATAAGGATATACACTACCAGCCAAAGGTTTTTACGATTTTTGAAAGAAGACTCACCAAGGCTGCAATTATTTAATCAAAAATACAGTAAAATCAGTAATATTGTAAAATATTATTACAATTTAAAATAACTATTTTCTATTGTAATATATTTTTAAAAGGTAATTTATTTCTGTAATGCAAAGCTAAATTTTCAGCAGCCCCATTACTCCAGTCTTCAGCGTCACATGATCCTTCAGAAATCATTCTGAATCAATATAAAACTGATAATACTGAACAGCAAATCAGCATATTAGAATAATTTCTGAAGGATCATGTGACACTGAAGTCTGGTGCAATGGCTGCTGGAAATTCAACTCTGCATTACATTTCAAAATATATTAAAATAACAGGAATAAATTACATTTTTGCTTTAAAAAAAGCTTTGCTGAGCTTAAGGGATTACTTTTAAAAACATTTAAAAAAAATCTTAATTCTTCCACACTTTTGAATGGTAGTGTAGAGTAACAGGAAATCCAAAGGAAGGCCGAACTTAAACCTGCATGACCCACATGAGAACCACAGCTCAATGTGTCTGGAACATCTGCACTAACAGCTGCACCATGGCTCGAACATTAAAAAAAATCCTCTAAAGCAGAAGGCTGTGATGGGACACTCTCTGGAGACAAATTATTCAAATGTTGTTGTTAAACGTTGAGGCGTAGGCTTTTAAAACCTGCCAAATGTGTCAGCGTTTTAACAAAAACGAGGGATATGCGAGTCGTGTTTCTGACGATAGCATTGTCCTGAGGTACCGGGCAGCTGGAATTGGTATCTAGAGATCGGCAGGGCGGTGTTAAGCCGTCACATGCAGGCTGCACCATCTCCCTGGTTTCCTGAAGCCGGACCTCTTCAGAGTCAACTTACACAATGAGATCTGCCACATAGAGATATTAACAGGGAGTCATAGACAGAGGGTCTGTCTATGACTCCCTGTTAATATCTCTGTGACGATCATAAACGGTCTCAATGATGGCTGACAGCAGATGTTTTTCTAATAGGAACCACAATAGGGAATGTCAAATGCAAATGCCTAATATTAAGTTTGCTGGATTTTAAGGGTAGAGTTTTGTAAGATTTTAGTTTTATAGTTAAGTTTCTTACAACAAAAACGTTGAAAAAGAAATTTCTTTTGCTTAGAAAAATTGTGAAATATTACAATAAAAAAAAGGTTTTCTATTTTAATACATTTTAAAATGTAATTTTTTACTGTGATGCAAAGCTGAATTTTCAGCATCATTATTCCAGTCTTCAGTGTCACATGATCCTTCAGAAATTTGAATATGCTAATTTGTTGCTCAAGAAACATTTATCATCAAAATTCTTATTTTCATATTGTTGCTGACAAATGCCCAATATTAAAATGTACACAGTTTTTTTCTAAATAATAATAAAAATCAGTCATTTAAAATGCTATAAATGAATTTAAGCATCACAATATAACGTACAGTATGAAAAAAAATGTGCAATCTGCTACAGATAACATTTAACAGTGATAATATTAGTGTTTTAAAGATTTACCTTGAGTGTTAGATTAATCCAAGTTCAAAAAAAAAAATATGAATTTTCAGCATCATTATTCCAGTCTTCAGTGTCACATGATCCTTCAGAAATTTGAATATGCTAATTTGTTGCTCAAGAAACATTTATCATCAAAATTCTTATTTTCATATTTTTGCTGACAAATGCCCAATATTAAAATGTACACAGTTTTTTTCTAAATAATAATAAAAATCAGTCATTTAAAATGCTATAAATGAATTAAGCATCACAATATAACGTACAGTATGAAAAAAAATGTGCAATCTGCTACAGATAACATTTAACAGTGATAATATTAGTGTTTTAAAGATTTACCTTGAGTGTTAGATTAATCCAAGTTCAAAACAAAAAATAAAAATTAATTTAAAAACTATTATCAGCCAATAAAGTAACAATTTATCATGCATCCATATTTATTATTTTCTGAATTTCATAGCTTCACACTGTGAGTGTTGTTGTGAAGTGTTGTGTAAAACTATAATTTTAAAAGCACAAGGTAGCTCTTTTTATACAAAAAGAAGGAAATGTATACATAACATAAAAAAAAGAGAACACCGGCACTCTGAGCACATCTCTGACAGGATGACCCAGCTTTTTTGGGCCAATTCGCTGTCAAGGAGCTATAAATTCAAAATAAATATTTATAAACAATGCCAATAACAGAAGGGAATGCATGTCACCTAGCTAATAAAAACTAATGCTTTGGCCAGATCTGGAACAGCATTCTGAACAAGACATTTAGCGTTGTGCTAAATCACGTTCATAAGAGAACACCGGCACTCTGAGCACAACATCTCTGACAGGATGACCCAGCTTTTTTGGGCCAATTCGCTGTCAAGGAGCTATAAATTCAAAATAAATATTTATAAACAATGCCAATAACAGAAGGGAATGCATGTCACCTAGCTAATAAAAACTAATGCTTTGGCCAGATCTGGAACAGCATTCTGAACAAGACATTTAGCGTTGTGCTAAATCACGTTCATAAAATGTCAAACACTCTCATTCTAGCACTAAAACAACTTTGTTCCTGCTCATGTGAAGCACATGGTTATGTCAGCCCCGGTGTATTCTGGGGTGTGGCGTATATCAAATCCCATCGCAGGGTTACTGTACAATCGGTGACATGCAATCCAAGCTGATGGATGGTCAGAAAACAGAAAGAGCGCACGCTGGCACAGACTGATCCCGTTTCCAGGTCGAGGCAGATTCTTTAGATAACACTCCCTGGAATGCAACAGACTGTGTAAGAATGTGCTCCTGGGAACAAGCATTTGTGCAAAGACAAAAGGCGTCGATGAAACAAAAGAAAGGGAATGGATCAAAAACGGTCTCTCTTTTACAAATATCTGTAAACCTGCCGAACCAGTACAGCAGCATTCTGGAGGGTTAGACACGATGGGCCGCATCCGTTTTAGTGCGCCAAAGACGTGTGCTCAGAATACAGAGTGATCGTCTACACCCTCCCTTATTCAACCCCTCAAGCCTTCCCCATCGGCCTACAGCAGATGACTACGAGCCTCGCTAGACCTGTGCATGCTGGCTAATTGGTCTCAAAGAACATTCAAAAAAAAAAAAAAAGGACCACTGCAGAAAAATAAATGGAAGAAATTGCATTGAACGATATGGCGAAATATGGCAATGGGTTCGTCTGGTCTTTTTGTCTAGAACTAGCTTAAAAATGCTATTGTTAGCCTGTTTATGGTCTCTATAATACACTATTGTTCAAATATATTGTTTTCATAGAAATTAATAGTTTTATTCAGCTATTAAATTGACCAAAAGTTACAGTCAAGACATTGTAATGACATATTTAAAATAAATGCTGTTCCTTTGAACTTTCTAATTACCAAAGAATCCTGACAAAAATGTAACAGTTTCCATAAAAATATTAAGCAGCACAACTGTTTTCAACACTGATAATAATACGTTTTTTTTTTTTTTTTTTTTACAATCGCTATGACAATTTTTTCAATATTTTTAACAATTTTCCTAAACTCAACATCCGTCTGTATAGGTAATACAATTAATGCATTTCTTGTTGCTTTGACAAAAGGCATGCAGTTAACACACATTTAAAATGCTTGAACTTCTTTTACACACAAGCTCAAGCAAGACCAAAACAACGGATTTTTACTACCAATTTTACAAATGCTTTCACACTGTATGTCAGAACAGATAACATCATGTTCTAAAACCTAACTTATAGGCTAAAGTCAAAGTGAACAGCTGTTCATATTGTGAATTGAAACACAAATATATCCCGTTTTTATTCATTAATGAGAAACAGCTGATTGAAGTTATGCAAATATATAAATTACAGCTGATTCCCATCTAGGAAACACACTCAGGTGTTGAGGTTCTTTCAGTCGCATGACCATATGATATACAGTAAAATAGGACCTTTTTGGGCTGATCTTGTGTGGAAAAGTGCACTCCTGCATAAATATGAGATTTTAGAAGGTCTGCACCAAAGACTGGTGCCAGAG